TCATAATCAATGTGTGTCCATGTATTACATGAACTAAGATTTGGACGTAAATGAAATTAAAAGGGGGCGTATTATGCTTCAAGGATATACTTATACTGTGTATCTACCCACTTTCCACGTTTGGATAATCATTCATTCATCCTCTTTTTATGTATAAAAGTGTTAAAACTAATCATTTTTGTGATTGTGTTTTCCCCCATTCCGCAAGTTGTGGTTTTTAATATCCTAATAACAATTTTCTTTAAGGATTTTTAATAGAAGATTGTGATAGTAAGATCTATAATTAATTTATGAATTAAAATCTTTTTTTTAATATTAATGATTAAGTTTTAGTTATTTATTTTCATTAATTCTAAACCAGTCTCTAATTTTAAATTAAAAGCTAGTTAAAATTATAATCTTTTGGTAGTTAAAATCTTTATAATTAATTTTAAAGAATATATTCTAATTTATATGTTAAATTAGAATATTATTTGTAAATTATATGTTAAATTAGTTTTGATTAGTATAGATAACAATTGAATGTATTTTCACGCTTACTTTTTGGATATATAATAAGAATACTATGCGACCTATACGAGTAGCTGACACCCACCCACTGTTTTATGATTCTTCTTTCCTTTTTTAAGTTCACTTTGTTTTAACGAGGGTATCCTTCAAAAGAGGTTTATTGGTTGTTGTATGATTGTGAAAACATCATTTTCTTTATTTTAATAATGAAAAAAAGGAAACATAAAATTAAAATTAATAGTTGCAGTACGGGAACAGCAACTTGACCATAAAAGGCATAAGTGTATTGTCCCACACCCACATCAATTTGTATCCTATGTATCTATCTATCTATCTATAGTTGGTTTATGAAGTTTTGATGAAAATTGTTGATAGATTTATTAATAAATATGCATATGCATAATGATGAGTATTGTATTTGTGTTTGGTGTAATTCCGTGGATCTCATGGAGAGATTCTACGGTGATGTTTCTTTAGTGTAAGCATTGATGTGAAAGTCTAAATGTTGGAAGTTATCTTGTCGTTCTAATAACCATTTTAAGCTCGGTATTTAGTATACAAAACAAAAAAAAAAAAAATATGTATGCAGTGAGAGGCAGGGATATCCTAGTCTAGAAACTTTACCTTGACCAAAGATGTTGTTAGACTAATCTTGTGTGTGGTAGCTTGGGTGAGAGAGTTGTTTCGTCACATAAGTACAAAATCCTTTGAGATTTCATATCAATCATTTATCTGAATGATTGAGTAGTATGAATGAATGATGATAATATTTCTATAATTATTACGTGGAAACTCTTTTTGCATATTAGCTTTCCTTGTTATACTATGTTTCTTATGTATCTCATGTTAGTAGAATTACACTTTTCAATAATTGTATAATAATTTTTTAAATTATAATTTTTTTATTTAGATTATTTTGAAATATTTATTTTATTAATTTTATGCCACTATACAAGTTTATTTGAAAATGAGAAAATTATTATCTGATTAACATATACTTTATTAAAAATGAAAAGAATTTTAAATGGTTAATAAAAATTTATAACTTAAAAGAAATTAAAGATATTATCCACTTAAAAAGAAGTGAAGCCATGAATGAGTGGGGGTTTGTAGCAGTGGTGAACAGAAGGGTGTTGGAATGGTTGGGAAAAGTAAAAGTGATTGTATTATTTTCCGAAAGTAGAATTGATTTATTTATTTGGTTTTTTTCGTTTTGGTTTCCACAAAGACTCATTTATTGATGTCCGTACAGGTTGCCATCTTGAGTCGAGGGCACGACAACGACAATTGATGTACCCTCGTACTACCTTTCTCACTCACACTGGTCCCTTTATGCATTTCTTAATTCGGAACAGACCTAATGCTCACAATTATTCTTTTATTTCTTTACTCTATAGATATTTCTTTATTATTATTTCATCTCAAATATATATATGTTTCTTTTTTATTTTTACTTTCAATCGTCTTACATCATATTCCAGCTCACTCCTACTCGTTTTCATCTTACGATGCTAGACTCGTCAGGTAGATTTATTTGTAAGCTCCTAAGACAAAATATGGGATGAATGCCTAAATTTGTATTATAATTGTGTTTATAGTTTTAGTTGATTGAAATTAATTATTATATGAATTTGTTATTAATTATGTTTACTTAGATCTTTTAATGATTATTATTTTTGTTTCACAATTTTAATCATTTAGAATTTAATTTTAGATGTTGTCTTAGTTATTTAAATTTATTATAAAATTATTTCAGATTCATATTTATAAATTAGAAATTATAAAATTATGAATATTACTAATTTTGAACAATAAATTTATAAAATTTATTGTTTTTATTAATTTAATTAAATAAAAATAAAATTATTAAAATTTTGCAACTTATTATTTTATATGTTATAATTAAAAGAAAAAAAAAAAAAAAAAGAAAATTAAAAAAAAAGCATTATAAGAAATAATGAATCGCCATTCATGACTATTTTTCGAAGGGGGATCTAAATATTGAACAAGTTAAAAAATGGGGAAAAGGAAAAAAGAAAAAAAAACTGCTGGTATTACTATCCCCAATTTTCGATGCTTTTATAGAAGAAAAAAAAGAGAAAAAAAAAGAGGGGTAGGGAAAATGAGAGGAGAGAGGGAAAGAGGAAAAAAAAAGAAAAAAAAAAGGAATAAAAGAATAAAGATAAAGATAATTTTGTTTAAAAAAATGAGAATAAAATATTTCCAACGTAATATTATTTAATTTTTTATTTAAATAATATTGTTATGAGTTGTCATGAAAAAACACAACATAATGAATTATACGAAGAACGTAATTTGTTTTATGTTGTATTATTTTCACTTTCCACATTTTAACTCATAAGTTAATTATACCACGCCTTTTATTGATTTTCTAATTTTCCGTACTTTTATTCGATCAAATCCAACCTTTTCCTTATAAGATTTCCTTACTTAAAGGAATTTATAGAACAAATTTAAAATATTTATAAAGAATATAAGACAGAAACGTGATGTTTTTAAACACAAACTATTTTTACACACATTTGGTAAAAAAGGGTTGGATTATATATTAAACCATTATAATATTTATGAGTGAAAGAATTACTTAAATCTCATAAGATTGGGTTTGATTAGTTGAGTTACTTAAAATAATGACGTGATATTATTTATTGAGTACTTAATGTTTAGTGTCGAAGCTATAAGATGACCACTAGATATTTTATGAGGAATAGATCACTTAATCAAATATAAAATATCGGATACTAAGTACTATGTTTCCTACACCAAGGTTTATATTTAGGATATGCCTATAAATATTATTTTAATCATAATTTGACTTTACTTTTGCATTAATTCAAAATTGACAAAAATATTTGACCAAGTACTAACTTGAGTGTCGGGAGTATCTTCTACAAGCATCTCACCGTTTGGTAAAGGATGAAAAAGGATTTGGAGGATAAGTACTACGTAATGAAGAGTTTGTGGAGTAGAATGAGACTTTATAGGGTATGTTTGGTTTTTGTAAGAACAATTGACACCCACCGAGGGCCGACAAGTATTTTGTGAAGAGAAGTTACTTGTGTTAATATGCAAGTTTAGTTTTGTAAAGCCCATGAAAATAATCATCTTAATAAATAGTAGTAATTTTCTCTAAGTATTATTATTAGTAGTAATAATTTTTTTGGGTACAAAACATGATTAATAAGTTATGTGGTAAGTTAAACAAAATATTATAGTATTTTAGATGATAACTATCTTGTAACACTTGGAACATGGGTTCAAACCTAGTGGAATACATTTCTTCAAAATGTATTTTTATAAAATCAATTAATTAATTAATAATAATAATAATATAATTAAAAATCAAAAAAACAAAGGACAAAAAACTAAAACTTTCGGTAGTTGCAATTAATTTGCAAGGATTGTTTTTTTAGTTTTCAATCCTGTCTGGCCTTACTTAAAAAATCAAACAGACCAAAACTTTTTTAGGGCTGGAATTTCTAACAATTTTCTGGCTGTTGGGGTTTTTTTTTTTTTTTTTTTTGGTTAGTGAGATTTAATCAGACCTGTCCATTATGTTTCTGTGTTGGATTTGTGAAAGATCTGGTCCAAATCTCTTACAGCCAATGGTAAAAAAGTTGGTGCCTAGAGCCTAAAAAAAACGTCAGTACTAAATATTCTTCTCCCACGTAAATCAATGGATGACTTCTTTTCTTCCTATATTAAATTTCAGTTCATCAATTTCAAAGGTTGGGTTTTGTCTTAGAAATAGAATTCTTGGGAATAGGATTCCTGGGAAATTTTAATAAATATTTATGGGTATTATTCAATTTTCCTTGGAATTATATGTAGACAGTCAGTTATCATGGTAAATATTAGTAACCTTATTGTCATTACCAGAGTTTTATTCCCAACTTGTGAAAGATTGGGAAAAGTTTTGTTTTTTTCTCAATTATCCACAAATTAGCATTTTTCAAGGATATTTTATTCAAAAGAAATATTTCATTGTATTTTTTATGTATGGGAAAACTTTAATTTCCCCAAGTCACTTTCCTTAGGATTTATTAAAACATTCCTGAAAACCCAAATGTCACCTTAAAAGGTTTTTTAATGTGTAAAAAAGGAAAAAAAAAAAAAAAAAGTTATAAGAAGAAGAAAAATGAAGTGCGTTAGGTTTTTTTTCAAGTGAAAAGAGTTAGTTGTCATTAACTAAAAACATGTTTCTATCCTTAAAGCTGGTTTTTCTTTTGTCCTTCTGCTATTTGGATATACAACTATGGTGTTTGTTTTCCTTTTGTTACATGTTCGTGTGTTATTTCTTGGAGAACTAATAGCGCAATTTTGGATTTGCATTTCTAATGTTGATTTCCCCTTGTTCTTTGTGGGCGGCTGGCAAAATTTACAAAAAAAGTAGTGGTAAACTAGAAGAGTATTGGTTAAGAATGATAGCTTCAGACATTTGATTGTCTTGGGCTACTAAACCTTAGCTTGAAACATTTGATTTGAGGTTTGAGTACGCACAAGAGGGAAATATCTCAAATTGATTTGCTTTATTAGAAAGGAGTTATTTTGTTTACTTGGAGCAGATTCATGTCATGCAATTGAGTGGAAGTTTGCTATTCAACTTTAAAAATAAAATTGTCTTTTTGACATGTTTATGGTCACTGCTAAATTACTATTTCGAGGGAGTTCTTGACTAAAGAAGTAGTTGCTTGAGCATTGCTGTATTATTCTTTTTCAGGTTTCTTTGGAGAGGTTTTCCGTGGCATATGGAATGGCACAGATGTTGCAATCAAGGTTTTTCTAGAGCAAGATTTAACTGCTGAAAATATGGAAGATTTTTGCAATGAGATATCTATTCTGAGGTATATTGCCATTCAGAAACTGTTTTTCAGCATTTTTTTTCTGTTATATCTATACATTTCTGACTCTTTTCTCACTGGTGGTGCTTGTTTTCCTCCAGCCGACTCCGACATCCTAATGGTATTCTCCAACATCCTTACTGTTTACTTTTTTCTATAGTTTGACTTTGTGTGTTGTCCGTTGAAAAACATTTAGTTGTTTGATACGGTATAATTCAATGGAAAAATTAAATCTTTCAACTGTTATTCTTTTATTATTTCAATGATTATTTATAATATTTTATTAAATATTTCTTACTCAAAAAGAATGACAATAATATTGTACACACTTGGTTATAATAAATCTCATGTAGCTTTTTTCCCTGGAAATCAGCTGTTATTTATTTAGTAATGAAATTATATGCAGTTATATTGTTTCTCGGTGCATGCACAAAGCCTCCACGGTTGTCAATGGTTACAGAATATATGGAATTGGGATCGTTGTATTACTTGATACATTTAAGTGGTCAAAAGAAGAAGCTTAATTGGCGGAGAAGACTAAGGATGTTACGTGACATATGCAAGTAAGTTTGTGGTTATTCTGTTCATACTTCAGAATCTTATCCGTTTCATCGGCATTTATGTTATAAACAGGTGTTGCACATTAATTACTACATTGTTGTCTTTCAATAAACCATAAAATTCCCCTGCCAATTTACTTTCACCTTGAGAAATAGTTGTCAAATTTTTGTTAATTGTGGAGCATAATTTTTTTTTTGTGGTTTTGTCACTATTTAATTAATAAATTATTACTATCATTATATTTAATTTTATTATTTAATACGTTTAAAAAAACTGTTTTTGCCACCTGTTTGATAATGATTTAAAATATGACCTATGAATACCTTGGTTGAATATTCTGTTCAGTTTTGAGTTTTATGAACATTGGTATAAACGTACCCCATTTCTGGAAAGATTACATCTGGTCTAACAATATTGACGAGAATAACTTGCTTGTGTAGGGGTTTGATGTGCATACATCGAATGAAGGTTGTTCACCGTGATCTGAAAAGCGCAAATTGTCTGGTGAATAAGCATTGGACTGTGAAAATATGTGATTTTGGGCTTTCAAGATTAATGACAGAGTCTCCTATGAGAGATTCTTCCTCGGCTGGAACTCCGGAATGGATGGCTCCTGAGCTCATTCGAAATGAACCATTCACAGAAAAATGTGATATCTTTAGCCTTGGGGTGATAATGTGGGAACTATGCACATTGAGCAGACCATGGGAAGGAATACCACCTGAGAGGGTATAATATTCAACACATTATATGTTCATCTTGCGTGATAGTTTCTATTTTTCTGTCATGTGCTTCCTTAAAGAATTTCCATTTTTCTCTGCTGGACTAGGTGGTCTATTCCGTTGCAAATGAGGCTTCCAGATTGGAAATACCAGAAGGCCCTCTAGGAAGGCTTATTTCAGGTCCCTGCAACTTTCCTTTGTTACGTGTTGATGGAAGAATTCAGAATCGTCTGCTTTAACTAATTTTTACGCGTTTTTTTGTCTGCAGATTGTTGGGCAGAATCCCATGAGCGGCCAAGTTGTGAGGAGATTCTTTCTCGTTTGGTGGACATCGAGTACTCCTTGTGTTGAAGCAATATCTTTTGTACATAGAAAACTTTGGGTAGAGTTTTTACATTGTATTATCGGCTGATGTTGTGGACTATTTGTGAATTTTGTTCGTTTTCGCAGAACGTGCGAAGTATGAATCCATAGTTTATCCCTGTGCTGCAACTGCATCTCGTTCTGGGCCAATGAGAAAGATGAGATCAATCCATCTCTCGTATTTTATTTACAATGAAATTCAAAACAACAGTGTCTGGGGAAGAATAGTTATTCCCGATCCCAATTGGATAATAATCTTGAGTTTTTATGAAAAGGTTATTTAAATATTTAGATTTAAAGTTGGTTCCATGTTAGAATATCATAATAGAACATAAATTAAATCATATTTTTAAGATGTTGTTTTTATTTTAAATTGATATTTAAATACTATTTTTATTCTGAGGTAATTATTTGTAATATTATATTTCTTCTGTTGCACTATCATGTTCTCGAATTCGAAATGTATATAAAAACATAATTGGTTTTAAACCAAATATGGTAAAATTGTAGGACCCCACCTGGTTAATTATGAGACCAGTATTAAAAAAAACAAGAAAAAAAAAATTCCTGTAATGACCCAAAAATTTGGGTTGGATAGATATATTAAAAAAGCAACTCGTAATAATTGCTTTAGATTTGAATTAAAAATAAAACCTAATATCCCTTAACTCCCTTGCTTATTGTGCTGAAGCTTCTTGAGAGTATCAATTTAGTCATGGTTTTGTTGCCTAATGCATGACCTCAGTGTCTCCTGTTGCTGGGGCAGTAGATGATTATTATTTTTCTACTCAGTTGTACGTCCCTTATATATATTAGATGTTTTTGAGAAAAAAATCATGAAATGATCAGTCAGTAGTATTCCATTTTTTTTATTCTAATTGCAGTAAAACAGAACTAACTACTGGAAATTACGCATGGAACAGGGATTTCAATACCATACCGAATGAGCAAAAGAAGACAAGCAATGTGTAAATGCTAAACTAACATGCAGGAGAAAAAAGGGAAAAAAAAACTTGGAGCTAATGAACTGAATGGGTATAGTCCAGCGCAAATTTTGAGTGGAACTTAGTGTGATATTTATGGGAAAGAATGTCTCCTACCAATTGTCGGGGATTTTCTGGAAGATGCTGAGAACAATACTCCATAGTGGATGATGTTGATGACGACCATGAATGGAAAGTTGCAGAACTGAGATATTCACATTAAATAAGAAAGGAATTTTGATCTCCTCGTACCAAACCAGTTCTAGAGATTGTGAAGATCTCCCCAGAGGTTCATCACGGAGGTTATGAAGACCAATGAAGGAAGGGCAAACAGTGAGCCTCAGACAAGCCTAATTCTACCAGCAAGCACCTGGAGAGGACACTCGACTGTTGGACGGTGCTGCTTTGTCCGTAACATCTGGTCACTTGTTCTAAAGGCACTACGAAATTTCAATTGCTTCCCAAAAAACCAAGGCCCATCCATTTCGATATAACAATTCAAACAAGTTTTAGTTTAGAAATTTAGAAAATTTAATTTTTGATGTTATAAAAAAAATATTTAAAATCATTTCCAAATAATTATTATTCCAATATATATCAAGGGTGTTGTGTTTGGATTAAAATATTTCGATGAATATTTTAAAAAAAAAAATGAAAATAAAAAAGTCTCTAAAAATTAAAGTGTTAATTTGTAGAAATTTTTTCAACTAACTTTTTTAAAAGATCAATTTCAATTCACGCACAAGTTAATTTTAGTTTAGACAAAAAAAGAATATTTCATTTTTTATATTTTATTATTTATAAGTGTTTATGAATTCTTTAATCCAAAACAAACTTCAATGATACTTGGAATGAGGAATGATCAAGTTAATGAAGCTTTTAACTCAAGAATCATTTCTTATCTTTACTCTTTAATTTAATTTAAATCCGATTGTTTTAGTTTGTAACTAATTTTGACCATTACGTTAAAAATAATAATACTAATACTACTAATAATAAGTATGAGAAGTAACTCTCTTAAATTATTTATTTTAATAAGTAGATCTCTTTAATTCAATTGTAAAATTTCACATCATTAATTACAAACTTTATTCCAAAAATTAGTATTTGAAAAGAAAAATAGCTGCTAAGACAATCAAACCTGTTGTAGCTCCATCACCATGTTCACATGCCACTTCCCCAACATCATCCATAACCAATGGAGGGAGAACCTTCTTCATTCACGGGACCTGTCAAGGAAATGAAAATAAATTAAACATGAAGGGGAGTGGCTCCCTCCACCACCACCAAAACCACTCCATGGCATTCTCACCATACTTAAATTTGTCTTTCTATAATTTAAAAAAGGATGTCAATACATACGGTTTCAACCTTCAACGAGGGGGGACAGGCCGGGGGGGGGAAGGAAAGGGGGGAAAAAAGGAAGGGGAAGGGAGTGGGGAAGGAAAAGGAAAAGAAAGAGAGGACAGGAAAGGAAGAAGAAGGAGGGGAGGAAGGAAAAGAAAAAGGAAGGAGAAAGAAGGAAAGGAAGAAGGGGGGGAAAAAAGGAATAGAAAACAGGGAGGAGAGAAGGGATAAAAGGAAAAAAAGAGAAAAAAAGGAAAAAGAAAAAAAACAAAAAAAAAAAAAGGACAACGGAGGGTCGCCACAGCCGGGGGAAGAGAGGGGGAGAAACAAAGGGGGGGAAGGAAGGAGGGAAAGAAGAAGACAGAAAGGAAAAGGGAATAAGAAGGAGGGGAGGAAAGAAAAGAAAAGGAAGGGAGAAAGAGAAGGAAAGGAGGAAAGAAGGGGAAAAAGAGGAAAAGAAGAGGTAGGACAGAATTTTTTAAATAAAAAAAATTTAAAAAAAAAAAAAAACTAAAAATTAAAAAACAAAAAAAAAAAAAAGAAAGAAAAGAAAATTGCAACGGGATGTCGCCACAATCCGTTTTTTTGAAAGTTAATTGGATAACAAATTTTTAAGTATTAATTGTTAATAATAATACATAAAATTAAATTAAGGAAGTAAATAATTATTTGATTATAATACCAAATAAAATTAATTTATAAATGATTAAGTAATAATTTTAAAAAAAAATTAACTATGATTGATATATTAATTTTTTTTAAAAAGAACAATAATTAAAAAAAAATAAAAAAATTGAAAAGAAAAAAAATCAACGGATGGGACACATCATATTGAAGGAAAAAGAGGGGTGGGGTGTTAAAATATTTTTTTAAAAATATAAAAGAATAGTTTTTAGGAATTTTAGAAAAAAAAAGTGAATAGAACGGGAGCAACGCCCCATAAATGGGGAATTTGGCGGTTTTTTTGTTTGTAGGGCATGGGGGGGGGAAGAGGGAAATTATATTATGTAGTTATGACTCTGACTGGACGGCAAACAAAAAAAGTGGAGAAAGGGTGTGGATAGAAACGGTGAGGAAAATGAGAAAAGGAGAGGGGGGACCACGTCACCGACCACAACTTTGGTCTCTCTCTGCGATTCTACTGACCAAAAAAGGAGGTTTTTAATTGGAGAGAAGAGGAAAGGGAAAAGGATTCAGATTTAAAAGGACAAAAAGGGGGAGGAAAAGACACCGGAAAAGACCACTATGGAGGGAAAGCAAAACCAGAAAGTAATTAAAGGTAAAAAGAGTATGACGGCAGGAGAATTAGAGAAAACTTCAACAGGTAGTGGCCATGGAGGCTTGTCCGAAAGTAACATATGCTTGAGTTGTGTTTCATATTCATTAATGGTTGATTATATGCTATGCCATCTCCTTTGTCACATTTATCATTGATTTCTTCTGTCACCCATCAAATTCTGTTATGTATACCCTGTTCAATCATTCATTTCATGCTTTCACTCGTCGCTCTATTGCATTCACCATTAAACCCCAACCATAATTGCCCCCACAGGTTTATTAAGACAAGAAATACAAAAATCAATTCATTACATCGAACATCAGAGTAAAACATCCCTTTGTAACTCAACCCGTAACCTCAGAAAAAAAAAAAGCACAAAACAGAATCAACTCCCACCATCTTCATAAGATTTCACTCATAAACCATTTTCCCATTCATCTCCTTCATTAGATTTCACTCATCAGCCACCCTGTAGCACCTCCACGACAACCGTAGGACCACCCGAGACTTCCTCTTCGAGCCATCATCATCCATTCACGCTTCCATTCTTTCACCATTTTCTTTGTAAACCTGCAAGCCAAAGACAACTTCTTGCGTTGAAACTCAAGGTTCAAATAACCTCTCTGATAAAGCTTCATTCTGCTCCAGACCTCCGCCGTCATTCCCGCAACTGAAACAGTAGCAGACCACCGTGTCACCGGCTTGCTCGTTCCCCACCACTGCCATCTTCGTCGGAAATTACCAGTCATGGAGGACGCCGCCACCACTGCTCCATAGTCGCCATCTTCCTCTCGCCTCCCTCGTATTCTTTAATGTCCGCCCATCACTTCCTCATCGCGAGCTACACCGCAGCTGCCATGGAGGAAGGAGCCTCCCCACGCTGTGGCTGCCAAGTCTAGGAAGAAGGCAGGTTGGTCCCTTTGTTTCACTCAGAAGAGAGAAAACCCTTAAAGGAGAGTTTGGGGCCTTTTTAGCCCGTTTTGGTTTTTTCTAAAAAATAAAAAAAATCTGGAAAAAAGGGGTTAGGGCCTTTGGTCCATTTTCGTTTCTAAATTTCCACCCCTTCTGTTGGTTCTGACACCCCTACAATTTCATGACAGCCCCCCAGGTTACTCCCCTTATTATACCACCCACTTTGATTTCTGCACTTACCCATTTTTTTTTTAAATTTCAAAAATTATCCTTTTATATTTTTTAAAAAATTACTTAAACCCCCACTCTTTTCTAAACAGATGTCGGGACATTCTGTTTAAGGAAAAAAAAAAAAAAAAAACTCTCAAACGATGTCGACATCTATTGAAACAGTAAAAAAAAAAAAAAAATTCTTCAACGGATGTGCCACATCCGAAATTCGTGAATTTTTTTCCTTTTTAGTGTTTTTATTTTATCGTAATTTTTAAATTAATAGTATGTAAATATTATTAATTTTTTCAAATTATTACTTAAGGTAGGTATAATTATTTTAATGTATGAATAAATAAGGTATTAGTAATTTAATTTATATTAATTATTATTTTAAATTAATAATTAAACATTTTTAAAAACACTTTTTAAAAAGTTTATTTAAAAAAACGGATTTGGACGTGGAAAAAGTTTTGGTGTTTCTTTG